CATGGGATAGACGTAATGCAAGGGCAAATCGAAGTGTATACCTATAGTTTATACCGACGAGTATTTCATGACCATCTAGCCAAATTGAAATTTGGAATCTTGTCCAACTAGTCAGCAGCCGTTCTACACACATATAAATGCTTCGTTTTCGTTCACACAGTTTTCGATCACATAGTTTTTTTAAGTTTTGAGATTGAGTCGATATTTATCTTGCTTCGTTTGTCAGAAATTTTACCATGCCACTTCTGGTCGTGTTTAATGATAGGTACGGTATTTTCATGGTCATTGGTCAAAAATCACAATTAGGTATTTGCGAAAATTCGAGGCTGACAAGTTAACCCTCGCCGGCTGAGGAAAGGGGCGGGGCGGGGCCCACCATCGTAGTTTTTTTTTGTGATAGCTTAAAGCACGCTTGTGATAGAAAGTTAAAATTTATCATATTAACTTTTGATTCAAGCCAGATCATGTGACATCAACCGCGTTTCAGGGGTGGAGCTTCCTATTCACTTAGTGGGGCGCCTGCCCCACCAACTTGCCAATTTGCCCCACCAATAAGCGTTTTGCCCCACCAACATAAGCCGATTTGCAGGACTTTACTGCTTAGCAAACCTATGTTTTTCGCATTGAGGAGCTTTGAAATGTCTGTGTAATGCAAAATATTATCTCTGTAATGAAAAGAATTGATTCATTGTTGAATTTTATCTAACTTAACAATCGGACATTGTAGGTTTGACAACTTTTTGCCCCACCAACTTTCCTGGAAAAGCTCCACCCATGCCGCGTTTTCAGGTCAGGTCAGGTCACTGACCTATGACGTCATACGTAAACTTCTGCACGGTGCTAAACTGTGAATGTCACAAATCCGCAATGAACCTAATGCCAGAAGAGCTTTCACAGGGAAATAAAACGGACAGGACCGTGTCCTCCAGAGGCCTCACAACTTGTGTATCTCGGATTTTTCCTCGAAGGCCACCTGAAAGGTCACTCAAGTGACCTTGTCATCATAAGCCGACATCATAGGGGGGATATGGAAACTTCAATGCCGATTGGCTTGGCCGACGACCAAGGTCGTGCGATGGTCAGCACACAGAAGACAGTTGGGCAAATTAGACCTTTGGAATCAAAATATGGAGGCATCAAAAGATTGATTCCTTATGACCATATTTGGGCATAAATGCAGACCATTTCTAACCTACCAATCACATAAAAATAAGAGAGTGTTTCAAGAAGGAGCATGCCTGATCTTGAACAGAAATGCTGGAACTATCTCCTAAGCAAAATAATATTGCCCCTATCATAACAATTTGAATTCAATAGGTAGTGAAAGGCAATGAAGGAACTGATTCACTTTAAACAGATAATCATAATATTGATTCCCCATCAGCTGGCTAATCATTATTTTGATTCACAGGTAATGTTAACAAATAGGCAACAATGACTTGCAAGAATACAGCATTTATCTTGCTATTATTCTCATTTAGTGGTATCCTCAGCACCACAACGGATACCTATAGCACTGTTGTACCTTACCTTCACTGACACTACATTTGATAACAATTAACAATTTTTAAATGTCAAGAAAACAAAAACTGAAGCAACGGGTAAAAACCATATAAATAATATAAAAGCACTACAACAATGATAATTAGGGGTTTAAAAATTTCATTTTGCCATTTTACACAAATACTGATTGTTTAGTACCTATGTGATTCATGATACAAAAGAACATACAGTGCGATTTCCTCAAAACAGCTTTTACGTGATGGGCAGTGGTTCTGTCTTTTTCCCATTCACAAGGCCAAAGAAGGGACAATTTCTTAGCTTGGAGGTAACACTTTTTGCAAACCTACCACATTTTTCTACCTTTTTTAAGAAAAATCTCACCGTCATGGGCCTTTTTACGCCGTAACGAGACATTTGAAGTCAAAAGTGTACCCAAATGAATCAAAAAATTGATTCCATGCCCATATTTGGTCATGGTGGCTCCTCCCACCAGAATCAAATTATTGATGCCTCCATATTTTGATTCCAAAAGTCTAGTTTGCCCAACTGAAGACGCGTTTACATAGGGTTTGTTGCTGTAGCGGCGGAACACCTTCAATTAAGGGGGGGGGGCACTACCGACTTTTGTATACAAACGACACCACCGCATAATTACATACCCAAACGCCGAAGAGTGAGATGTCGTACTTACCACTTCATTGTGATTGGTCATCAAATTTGTGGACGATCGATCTCGGTGCTTGTCCTCTGTCAATCGGACTTATAGAAGCCGAGTTATGCCGCCGCGGTCCAACCCGTACGACCGACCACTTTGCAATCTAGCTGGATTCCGCTGGATGGAGGCACATCGGTCACACCTCACATGCAAAAGCTAGATTTGAAAACTGAGGAATCACCCAAGGCTATCAACCAACAGCTTAGGATCACGAGGCGGCGCTGTTTTCTGCTTGATATATTCAGGCAAATACATTGATATTTTTTTTATTCAAATTAAAACTAGCCTTTTTAATATTTTTCAAAAGATGATTTTTCTTTACCCAGAGCAAATATGTATTTCAAGCTAGCAATTTTCTACCACGACAATATTTCTGCTAGATTTAGTAAAAGTAAGGTTCTTGAGAAACTGTAAACAATCATGTTTGTCGACAATTGCAAGACACCTAAAGACAATTGCGAAGAGGTTCACTGGTGACCGCCCAGATGAGAGATGTCAAGACGTTTCCGGAGAGGAGAGACATAAGCGTCAAGATCTAGAAGTTGCTATTTGGTTATTGCCTTTCTTTAATTTAATTGTCTTTGAGAGAGGACGATTAACTGGAAGGTGGTGAATATTCCACCAACTCAGCTGAACTGGTTCTCGCTGTTGAATTCATTCAAGGCCATTTCATTTGTACTTGCCTATCATTGGGAATCTGTCCTGTTGGCAATAAACTGAATAAATACAAAATACTTATAGTTGCATTCGGAGGTCGGTAAGTAGGCATATGGATTGGACGTGATGGAGGGGCCAAGGGCCTTAAAACGGACAAGAGTGGATGAAATGAGTTTCTGGGGAGATGCAGATGAAGGAACCCAGGGGGTTTATCTGCAGCTCAAACTTACATCTGGGAAAAGTGTGAAGGAAAGAGGGTAGCCATGGGTTCAAACCTGCGTCCGAGGCATTCTTGGCGGACAGGAAAAAGTGGCCAAAGCTAACTTCATGGCAGACGGGTCTTTGCTAGTCAAGACCAAAAACGAGGCTCAGACAGACAAACTCTTAAAGGCCAACTTTTTGGTGGTGAGGAGTGTGTCGTACAGAGGGACGCGAGACTGAATCAGAGCAAGGGCATCATACATGCACCTGACCTGATTGACTTGTCAGAGTTGGAGATCTGCGGTTGGTTGGAGGAGTTTGGTGTGGTTGGCGTAAAATGATTCACGAGGAAGGTAGGGGAGGAAGTTCAGCGCACGCCCACTCTTCTTCTTACCTTCAACACCCCAACATGTCCCTCACAGCTCCAATTTGACTATGTCAGGTACCCAGTCAAGAAGTACATACCAAACCCACTTCTTTGCCACAACTGTGGGAAATACGGACATGCACAGGAAAGGTGTAAGGCTGAGAGTATATGTCTGAACTGTGCCTCTAAGAAACATGAAGGGACTTGCTCTCCAAAATGCATCAACTGTGGTGAGGCTGGACATGGCTGCCTCTCCAAAACCTGCAGTGTTTGGAAAACTGAGAGGGACATATGTGAAATTAAAGTGGACAGAGATGTCTCCTATGTAGCTGTACAGCAATGTAGAGTTGCTTCAGCTTTGGCGTAAGCTTTCTCCTCTTCCGCTCACCATTCACCACCAGAGTCAGCAGCGTCTCGCCTGGCAGTCCAGTCAGTCAGGGTGAGTGTCTTCACTCGCCACAGCGGGCCGGACCCATTACAGGGCAGCAGAGTTATCAGTTACCAAGCCTTGGCCTATAAAGAAAACCAGGAAATAGTAGCAATTGCATATATGTAATGATTCTACTCTATTACGATTGAGCTAGCGAAGCGTATTCCTGTAACGTTTTTAATAGGCTTGTAAGTCAGCAACCGCTGGGCTGATTGACCTGCGTTACTCTTTGTTGCGCGTAATCCTATCCCTTCCATCTCGTTATTGACTACAACTGATGTATCTTGGTGAGTTATTGACTACAACTGATGTATCATGGTGAGCGTCGTGACACGTGCGACGTGAAGGGCCAAGAGTGTTCGTTATTCTGCTGCAGTAGCGATTTTGGGTTGCTCATATATCTTGAACCCTGAACTGCCACGCCGATTGCGCTCAAATTTGGTAGGTACACTGTTTGGGACTGGTTGATAGGGATGCGTTTTTTATAACTCGCATGTGTTTTTTTTTATAGCGCGGAGAAAAAAGTAGGGATTGTTAGGGTTAAGCAGGGACTCACCGATGTTAGATCCCTCTCTGGGTCTTTTCATAGGGGGTCACGGTCCTGACCCGAGATAGCTGAGCTGTGTCGCAGCCCTGACCTCAGACAGCTGAGCTGTGCACGCCGTCGGCTCGGCCGTCAGTCGCCACAGCCGCTGACGCCAGTGTCCAAACAGCTCCCAACAATATCCGGCCCTGCGGGAGTGATCACCGGAACTGGCTGCATGGTACAGGACGGGCTGGGAAGTGGGAACACGTCAACTCCAGCATGACGTGTTCCCAGTGTACCTGCATGTAGTTTCTTTATTCCTCAGCAGTTGTCATCCCCTTGGCGTTAGTGTTTCGCGTCCCTCCATTGATCACTCCCGCCTCTGATGGCTTATCCTGCTATACAGGGCCGGATATTGTTTGGAGCTGTTTGGACACTGGCGTCAGCGGCTGTGGCGACTGACGGCCGAGCCGACGGCGTGCACAGCTCAGCTGTCTGAGGTCAGGGCTGCGACACAGCTCAGCTATCTCGGGTCAGGACCGTGACCTATGAAAGGACCCAGAGAGGGATCTAACATCGGTGACTCCCTGCCTGTGACGAGCGAAGCGGATATTCTCGGTGGCACGTTGATCGTGTGGCGCCACCTGCGTACCAACCCGAGTGCGACTGCGGGAGAGTGCCGCCGTATGACGCTAGATGGCGTGGGTGCTCTGTCTGGTGGCGCTGACGACTGAGACCGAAACTGAAAGTGTCATGCTATCAGCTGGATTTTCATGCAACCAGCTGATCGTTCGAAGGCAGAAGGGTGTGGTTGGAAAAATACCGGCATGGTCTTTGTCTGAGCCTTTTCTGTGACGGTCGGGCTTACTTTGGTAAGGAGTTTGAGTTGTTAAAATGCTATGAGTCGTGTGAATTTGAGTTTTCTTGCCCTATTGATGTGATTGGCGTTATTTAATTAGGATTTTCTTTGTTTCTCAGAAACCTACATGTCAAGTTGAAGGCGTCTGAGCGATACTTCGTCTACACTGACTACCAACGTTGTACCGCAATATATATCCACGCCAATTTCCAATATGTAGTGTTATCAATTCCCCACCGTTGCGGTGACAGTTTCAAAGTACCCATGATTGAATTTGCCTTAACCTGTGCCTCACCTGTGCCCTTGACCATGACCTCTGTTGAATTTTAACCTGTGCCCTTGAACTTCACCCTGCTTCTGACCTGTACTACTGTTTGACCTGTGCCTTTATTGTGATGAATGCTGCTGGCATTCGTCTGTGCCGTGACCTATGTCCATTTGTCTGAGCCTCTGACCTGACACTTGCCCATGAATAATTGTCGGTTGAAGTTGCGTCTCGAGGAGGAAACCTGTCTGAAGATTGTGTAGACACCACTGCTTCTAATTGTTAAGCTCTTCCTGGTTTGAGCAGTGTGACAGAGTCATGTCTGTTCATGAGGCTAAGCAGAGGCGGGCTCGGCAACTTGGTACGCTGACGAGATTCCGCAGGCAGGCTTTTGTGCTGATTGATAGTAGGGGTAGCCGTACTCGCCTGGCATCCATACTTACTGAGTTGGGAAATGCACTTGGCAAGTTACAGGAAGTGAATGATGAATATGCCGCCCTCCTTCCAACTGAGGAAGAAAAGGAGGAAGCTGAGCAATACTTTGTCAGTGCAGAGAGCCAGTATGAAGAGGCTGTCAAACGAATTGAAGAGTACTTGAAGTCAAGAAAGAGTGAGCCCCCATCAGTGGTGTCTGTACAAGGATCTCAGGCCTCGGGAGGCTCAGATGCATCCAGATCAGCAGAAATTGAACTGAAGGTGAAACAGTTGGAGAAGTCTCAACTGCAGCACCGTATGGAGCAGGAAAAGGAGTTGCAGGAGTTGGCAAGACGTCAAAAACTCCAAGAGGCTCAGGATGCAGAAGCTGCTGCAGAACTCAGGGCAAAGTTGGCTAAAGCTGATGAGCTGAACTGGGACAGGAGGAGTGATTTTGGTGGAGAATTTGCCTGTGAAAATGCTCACCAGTTTCAGCATGATACTTCAAGACCAGCGGACATCCCTCGTGTCAGTCTTGAAACTGCACCTGTTGACAGAGTTGCCCAAGACTCGTCTCCCTCAGCATCTCTTTTCAGTCACAGTCTGCCACGCATCACTCTTCCAAAGTTTGGTGGCGAGCCATCTGAATGGTCAAGATGGTGGGCTCTCTTCAGGACTTTAGTGCACAATCAGCCTTCACTAACTTCAACCGAGAAGATGGTGCACTTGCAGGCATCAGTTGTTGGTAGAGCACAGGACACAATCAGTGGGATGCTGTATGATGGTCAGCTGTATGATGAAGCACTAAAGGCTCTTGAGGACAGATTTGGAAGGAAGGAGGATGTTGTGCATGCTCACCTACAGGATATATTTTCCTGTCCGGCACCAACCTACCTGGATCCAGTCGGGCTGGAACGCTTACATTCCTCTGTTCACTGCGCGGTCACAATGTTTCAGGCTCTAGGCTATGAAGGGGATCTCAACAGCTTTGAGAACTTGCGCAGAGTCGTACAGAAATTACCGCAAGAGATGAAGCGTATGTGGGGAGAACACATTCTGGATCTGGAAACCAAACCAACACTTGTTGACTTTGATGTGTGGATGCAAAGACAAGTTAGGATTGCACTCAACTATGCCGCAGTGGAACCGCCTTCTTCCAAGAAGAGGCAAGAGAAGACAACGCACAGAGGATCTACCACCATACAGAGAGCTACTCTGGCCACAGGGACCAGCCAGCATCATGCTACCACCCAATCTCAGCCAGCATCAGCCAGCATCAGCATCAGCCAGCACCGTACCTGTGCCTGCTGTTCGCAGCCTCATGACCTGGTGGACTGCATGGACTTCCGCCGCCTGCATGTCAACGAGAGGGCCCAGCTAATCAGCAAATCGGGTTCCTGCTTCTTCTGTTTGAGGAGAGGTCACAGGGTGAGGAACTGCCGCCAAGCGAAGCCGTGCGGAACAGATGGATGTCGGCTCCGCCATCATCAGCTGCTGCATGGGAGTCAGAGGGTTGGTATCAGGGCTCCAGTGTCAACGACAGTGGCCGCACAGCCAGATGCTGGTCGAGTAGTCGCTGCGTCAGCTGTCGGTACAGGAAGGAAAACGCTTCTGCAGGTGGTGCCCGTCACCATCCTGGGTCCTCACGGGTCCATGGAGGTATGCGCTCTGCTGGATCCTGGTTCCCAGACCACTCTGGTGTGTGAACGTGTCTTGGAGGATCTTGGACTACAGGGAGTGGAGCAGAGCCTCAGACTGCAGAACGTTGAAGGGTCCGGACCTCTGCAGAAGTCGAAGAAGACCTAGTTAGAGCTGTGCGCAACAAGCGGCAGCTGCACAAGAGTCTTGGTCCCCGAGGCGTTCTCAGTCAAGGATATCAATGTCACTATTCCACAGGTACGGCAGGAAGCTAACTGGAGACATCTTCAGGGCCTACCACTCCATGACTGCACGGGGAGGAAAGTTGAGCTACTGCTCGGAGCGAATGTGATCGAGGCTGTGCTGCAGCTGGAGATCAGGACTGGGAATCCTGGAGACCCAGTAGCTATCCGAACGACATTCGGATGGACTCTCACTGGCTCAGTGGCTGAAGCAGAGGTGGACAGCCTGAGGAGTGTGATGTTTGTCCGTCCCATGACTGAGGAGAGTTTGTTGTGCACCAAGTTACAGGACTGGTGGGAAACGGAATCATTTGGGTGCAGGTATGAGGGGCAGCCATCCAGATCCCAGGAGGACGCCCGTGCCCTGGAGATGTTGAAGAGGACCAAAAAGACTCCAGATGGTCATTATGAAGTGGAGTTGCTGTGGAAAGACCCGGAACCCAAGATGCCAGACAACAGAGTCATGGCAGAGAGACGTCTGCTGTCGTTGGAAAAGAACCTGTTGAGAAACCCTGACAAGGCTGAAGCCTATGACCAAGCACTAATGAGCTACGTCACCAAAGGTCACGCGCGGAAGTTATCGTCGGCAGAGGTGGCTCAGCCAACGCCAAAGAGATGGTTGCTACCTCACCATGCAGTGGTGAGTCCAAATAAGTCGAAGATCCGCGTGGTTTTTGATGCGGCCGCTCAGTATGGAGGCACTTCTCTGAACGATGCTCTCATGACAGGGCCAGATCTGCTTCAAAATCTGGTGGGTGTCCTGCTTCGGTTCAGGGAGGAGAGAGTGGCGCTGGTCGCTGACGTGGAGCTTATGTTCCATCAGGTGCGAGTGCGACCAGAAGACCAGCCGGCGCTGAGTTTTTTGTGGCGGAACGTGGACCAGAGGAGACCCCCCGAGGTTTACCAGATGCTTGTGGTGATTTTCGGAGCTAAATGCAGTCCCGCTCTGGCCAACCATGCTCTCCAGAAGACAGCTGAAGACCACCAAGAAGACACGATCGAGTCACGAGCCGCAGCAGAGGTCGTGAAGAAGAACTTCTACATGGATGATTTGCTGGTGTCAGTGAAAGACGTTGAAGTTGCCAAGCTCATGCAGAAGCAGGTAACTGAACTCGTCGCCAAGGGCGGCTTCCGCCTGGTGAAGTGGAACAGCAGCAATATGGAGGTTTTGAGCGAGATCCCCAGAGATGAGAGGAGCGCTGCAAGACAAGACCAAACATGCCTCGGACCAAGTGATACTCAGCGTGCCCTGGGGTGTGTTTGGAAACCAGCTTGTGACGTCTTGGGAGTTCAAGTGACGAAGACTGAGGTGCAGAACACCAAGCGCGGGGTCCTGAGGAAGCTTTCAATGATCTTTGACCCCCTGGGGGTGGTTTCTCCCTTTGTCTTGAAGGCGAAGGTGCTCGTTCAGCAGCTCTGGATGCGGAAGCACGACTGGGACCAGCAACTGAGTGGAGACATGCTCACAGCCTGGCAAGGCTGGCTCCAGGAAATGCCTCTCCTGGGAGACATCGAGATTCCCCGGTGCTACAAAGTCGAGTTTCCGCAGGACACGGAAGTCGTGCATCGAGAACTACATATCTTCTGCGACGCGTCCGAGCTGGCCTTTGGCGCGGTAGCATATCTCAGGATGTCTTGCACGAGAGGTGAGCACTTCACAGCGTTTGTGATGTCGCGGACCCGGCTTGCTCCTCTGAAGCAGTTGACTATAGTCAGGCTGGAACTGCAGGCAGCCGTACTTGGAGTGAGACTGGCGAACTTTGTAAAGAAGGAGCTGTCCTGTCATCTCGACGAGACCTTTCTATGGACTGACAGCACTGTGGTGCTGAGTTTTCTGCAAAATGAAAGTAGGCGTTTTCACACCTTTGTCTCCAACAGGATCTCGGAGATACAGGAGTCTTCCGAGATAGGTCAGTGGCACCACGTTCCCAGCGACCTGAACCCAGCGGACGTGTGCTCACGCGGCGCGTCAGGACCAGAGCTCGAGAAATGTGACCTGTGGTGGAAAGGACCAGCGTTCCTGACGCGAGATCAGGTGGAATGGCCAGCTGAAGAAGTGAAGTCAACACTAGAGGCAAGCGGACCAGAAGTCAAAGCGACACAGAAGGCGGTCTTCACAGCCAGTATCGCCGAACAACACCTTCTAGACCCTTCCCGCTTCTCATCCTGGTCGAAGTATAAGCGTGTGGTCGCTTGGATCATCCGCTTCAGCAGGAATGCGAGGGGCCGGAAGGACAGCGGTCAGCGAGCGGGAGGTCCTCTCACTGCTCCCGAGATCGAAGCTGCAGAAGAGTTCATCTTGAAGGAGTCTCAAGACGTTGTGTACAACGAGGAGAAGAAGCTGATCGTCAGCGGAGGCCGTCTGCCTGCCGGCAGCTCCCTACAACACCTGTCTCCGTTCGTCGATAAGCGGGGACTGATGCGTGCTAGAGGACGCCTTCTCCATGCGCCTCTTCCTGAGTCGTCCCGACATCCCATCCTAGTCGGTGAGAATGATATCATACGCTTGATCATCTCTGATGCCCACCGACGTGTCCTACATTCAGGAATAGAGCAGACTCTCAGTGAGATACGTCTCAGCTACTGGATCGCCAAAGCGAGATCGGCGGTGAGGAAGAACATCTACCGCTGTGCCTTCTGCAGGAACAGGAGAG